ATTTTGAAGACCACCAAAAAAGTTTCAAGATGCCGAACTGCAAGCAATATTGGATGAAGATGATACTTTAAGTCAAAAGCAAATGGCAGCCATGTTAAATGTTGCACAATAAACAACTTCAGACCGTTTGAAAGCTATGGGAAAGATTCAAAAGTGTGGAAAATGGGTGCCACATGAATTGAATAAAAGACAAATGAAAAACCAACAAACTATTTGTGAAGAAAATCAGTTTTGCATCGAATTGTCACTGACGATGAAAAATGGATGTATTTTAAGAATTCTAAACGGAGCAAAAACGGTTTAATCCGTTCGGTAAGAAGGCAATGCTTTGTGTTTCGTGGTATCACAAGGGTGTGGTATATCATGAGCATTTAAAACCTGACGAAACTGTTAAGACTTATCGATACAGACAACATGCGAACTGTGTACAGGAGGGCATAACAAAAAAACTTTGCACAAACTGCTTATCACGTGCGCATACTCTAAAAGAGTGTCAAAGTAAATTCAATTGCGTATATTGCCACAAAAGACATCATTCAATGGTACATATCACAAATTTTTCCAGCTCACCTCGAATTAATGTTAAAAGGGCTACAAGATTTATTGCAACAGTAAATCCCGAAAATCGTCAAGAAGCACCATGCTGCTCAAAGGCTTTAAAAACACAAACGCCACACAGCGAAAACCAAAGTAGGGTGCTACTGCCCACAGCTGTAGTCTCCATCGAACACCGAGGAGAACTGTTTAAGCTTAGGGCCTTAATAGAGGGGCACAAAAAAAAGGGGTACAACTGCTCACGAAACCACTCAGTTTGGGAATCACGGGAATAGACGGAAGTGTAGTCCAAAACTCAAACAAAATCTGCCCTATTACCCTAACTTCCCCCAAAGCGGATAAGCGCATTCAAGTAGAAGCTATTGTCTTACCGCAACTAATAAATATGCTTCTGAGCTATGACATAAATAGCAAGCATTGGCAAAAGGTTTCACACCTGAAGCTAGCAGATCCCAACTGCAATACTCCCGCTCAAATAGATCTTCTATTAGGCGTAGATCTCTGTGGTATGAGATACTCGAACGTATTGAAAAAATTTCAAACACACTTCTATCACAAAATACTATTTGTGGTTGACCAATTACCACCATGACAGCTCAAGTTAAGGAAATCTCAAACGAATACCTCAATACACAAGTGAGAAAATTTTGGAAGTTAGAAGAACTGCCCCCCATTTCAATTACAACCCCAGAAGATCAGTATTGTAAAGCGTTTTACGAAGCCACAATCACTAGATCATGACTAACTTAAACCACAATTTCTCAACACAATCGCCTTAGGTCACTCTCGCACCTACAATACAGCAGTTTCAAAGTATGGAAAAAAACCTACCTACGGCTTAAGGCGAGCTCAAATCAGAATATGATGGTGTGTTAGAAGAACACCTCCATTTGGACCACATGGAGGAAGTAAGCCCATGCGANGGCGTTCAGAAAATGTATCGACAAATAGTCGTACATAAAGACGATCATGATTTTTAGCGAATTATTTTCCGAAAATCTCCCAATAGTCTACTACGCGACTATAAATTAAAAACAGTTACCTTTGGCGTTAACTGTGCTCCATATCTAGCCATTCGAACACTGCACAAATTGGCAGAAAACACCAAGTCAGAATTTCCTCTGTCAACCCAGGTGTTAAAAACACAAAGGTATGTAGACGATATCCTGTCTGGAAGTTACAGTCTTTCACAAGCATACGAGTCACTATCACAAGTGGTACAAGCCCTCAAAGCCGCAGGGTATCCGTTGAAAAAGATAACAGCGAACCACCCTAATATTTTAAAAAATATACAAAATGAAAATTTGTTAGATTCTAATTTACTTAAATTCGAAAAGGAAAGTACAACACAAATTCAGTGGATCCAATGGAATGCGATATCTGACCAGTTTTTATACACATCAGAGTCAATATCTGCATTATCCGCCATAAAAAAGTGACAAATTCTATCCTCTATGGCAAAACTTTTCGACCCCGCAGCATGGCTTTCGCCATTTATGATACAAGCCGAAATCCTAATACAAGAATTATGGCTAGATGGAACCGACTAGGATAAACAAGTAAAACCACCTCGTTTAGAATAGTGGTCCCAGTTTGCGAGCAAAATAAATGATATCACACAGATAAAATCCCACGATGGGTAAACTATGCCTCAGAGCACAAAGTCGAACTCCACGGCTTCTGTGATGCCTCTGAAAAGGCCCATTGCACCACTATATATAATATGTTCGCAAACAAAGCGACACCGCGACCAAAAGCCACGAACTAGTAGCAAAAGCAAATATGGTTCCTTTAAAAACAATAAGTCTACCACGACTTGAACTGTGTGGCGGGCTACTACTAGCTAAATTGGTATGCATAATTATATCTATGATCTGATTTCGAAATTGTACTAGCGTTGTTAGAAAAATCACAATTTGCATGGAGACGTACCTATACTAACTAGCAAGATGCCGCGTCTCCACTTCAATAATAGTGTCTTCTAGACTAAATATTCACTTAGGGGCCCGGGATGATTAAATGAGTCTAAGCCTCCTCTTGGTAGGACATAACAAAGGCAGTTTAACATGAATTTTCACTGTGGTTGATAGCACTGAAGCTGATGAGAAGAAGTGAAAATACACCAAAGTAATAATGTTAAATAGATTCTGCATAAATAAAAATAATAAAAAATATATATGATATAAAGGATGATCCAAGTAAAGGTACTTTTTCCAATAGCATTTTTTCACACGTAAGCCGTATCAAGCTGTCATGCTATTTTTGTGCAGTATTATATGGCATTTTATCATGAAAAGACTCAACAACGTTTACAAATCGTTCAACTTTATTACGAAAATTTACATTACGTAAAGAATCGGCCTACTGAACGTACTATTCGCAACACTATCATCTATTTTTAGAGCCAGCATTCATTATTGGACAATGTTAGACCGCATCCATCGCGCAATGAACAAAATATAGCGGCCACAGCTGAGAGTGTACACAACTCAGACCGACATACGGAACGACTTTGCGCACTTTACGTCGAAATCTTAAATTGAAGGCGTACAAAATATAGCTTGTGTAAGAACTGAAGCCGCTCAACCTTTCCAAGCGACATCGCTTCTCTCTATGGACTCTTGATTGGATATGTAATGTCTAAAGTCTATGCGGTCAATCCCGCTTCGATTTAGGCCTTGGAAAAAAACATCAAGCGTGTCATTCGCCAGTTACCAGTCCAAATGCTCGAACGAGCCATTAAAATTGAACTCGGCTGATGGATCATCTGAGACGAGGCCGCGGCCAACATTTGAAAGAGATAATCTTAAAAAAATTAATGCTAATGAATGATATTTCGAATGATAATATACACTCCCTAATAAAACATCAGGAAACCTTGAAATTGCAAATGAATGAAATAGGTATTAGTATGAACTATTATGTTTTCAGGAAATCAGAAAGAAAATTCACGCATTTGAGTAAAACCCCATATGATACTCCCCAACTGTAATGGAAAAGTACGCACCATTGACTACTTTTTTGCACTATACCTATGTACAGTGGCTCACAGTTTACAAATTAGATGTTCAAAATAACATATCTTTAAAACTAAAAGAAGAATTGACTAAATTAAAACGCAAATGTATTTATTTGTACAGTATTTATTGGGATTGCCTGTAACACTATTTAGTTTTTTTTATTTGGAATAACAGTTTCGACTTTATTTAACGTTTGATACTGCCTTTTTCAACGTCACAGCTTATTTGACCCATTATATGCAATTTACGGCTACACTACAAAACAAATTAGAATAACAGTTAATTTTTTTGTTTGTGCTTTGACTAATATGTTCTCAAATAAAAATGATTAGAATTCTTAAGGATAACTTGACCCAAAGTGTTTAGGATTTGGGTAAAGAGTCCACTCTTCGCTTTCACCAGGATAATGATCAGAAGCACACTTCGTTCAAACGCTCATATATACTTGTAACTGTCCTCACGTAATGAAACTTTAATGCAAATTTAAATGTTATTGAAAATCAGTGGACTATTTTAGATAGCAACATTCTAAAAGGCAACATTTCGAATAAAAATTACTTAAAACCCGCTTAAACAGAGGAATGGGTTAAAATACCACCTACAACTAAGAAGAATTGCAATCTTTATAACTGGGTCAAATAAGCTGTGACGTTGAAACAATGTCTATGTATATCAATGCGTTTTAAAGAAATATTTTTTTTTGGTAATTTTTCTTTTTCGGACTTTGGGTAATTAATGGATAATTGAAATAGGAATGAAGAGTTGTAGACAATTAAAGTATACTTTATCTAGGTAATTAAATTATTCTTTATTAAAGTGCAATTGCTAATCTAATTGGAAATTGAAAGTATTTGAATTTAATTGTCAATCAAATTTAGCCATTAAAAATTTTGGCTTCGATAATGCTTCTATTAATTTTTTAATGACTAACCTTATGCCATTGCAAAACCGTAGTTGGTTCAAATTATGAGGCAAAATATCTGGAGACGCAACTCATGCCCAGCATATCCAATGAATACAAAAGGTCGATTGGATAATTTATAGCTCAAGTCGATAGATTTATATGACAGCAAGTATCCTGGCAATCCTGGCGACACAATTTGCTGTTTGCTGTGAGCAGCTACGTGGGTGTGTGTAACCATAAACACATCGTAGCAATGTATGTAGTTGTTTTGCGCTCACTCTCCGACTTACATACATTTCGATACGTATGCTTGATCGGATTGTTGCTGCGCATTGGCACATACATAGGGTAGGGGTTCCATTAATACGTAGGGTTTCCATTAATATGTAAAATGTAAAATTATTTAAAGCTTTAACAAGTCTTACGTTATCTTACCAACAGAAGCATAAAATATCTCTGTTATATCATTTATAATAACAATTGATAATTTAAAAAAAATAAATTGAACTGTTTGCTTTTTTTTGCACAAAAAATTTCACTTTGAACAAAATATTTACATTTCAATGAAGTGAAAGGCTTAACGGCAACAACGAAATTGTGTACACCAACTTATTGATATGCCGCTGCCGTCTTTGAAATGTTCAAAAATCTGGCTTCAAGACGACATTTGCCGACAAGAAAGTTTCGCTGTCGTGCAGTCGTCCTTGTGTTCAAAGCAGTCATGGAAAAGTACGCACAATTGTGCATTTTTCCCCATTCTAACTGTAGTCGGCACTTTAACACAATCGACCACTTGGCACTATTTGTTTGATAGACACACTACGTGAACGGAGCATACAAACACACATTCCATACTATTTGTAATTAACTTTCATTGATCGAATTTTCACTCTATAGATTTCACAATACCTAAAATCTCTGCAAAGAAAACTCCAGAGACACCAGCTCGAGAAAATGTGCCACCTGTTTAGAAAGCGGCTAAGTCAGCAGCTAAGCGTAAAAAAGAATACAGAGTACGAAAAAAGGTTTGGAAATCTGCTCTAAACCAACACCAGATTGAATGTAGCTCGTCAACCAACGACAGTGCATATCTTATGAATGACGAACCATCGCAGCAAAATGCAGTCGCAAATGAAAATATTTCAAGGGGCAATAGTCGTTTTCAGTTTTGTGAATATTTTAATAGTCGAGATAGTACTACAAAATAACCAAATGATGATACAAGTAATTATCGATTAATTATTGTTCAATCTGACATCCAACACCAATAGTTATATTTGCTTTCACAACATCTCGTTGAAAATATATTGTAGTACACGAACAATGTACTGATTAACAAAACAAAAAAACAAATGAAAATTGTAAAAACACCAGCTGCACATAGAAGTTGAGAGTATAGAGCACGACGGAAATATTTGCAGAACATTTATTGTAACAATCATAGCAAAGCAAGTGTTGCGATATATTACAATGAATGCGATACATTAAACATTGGCGCTCCACATTTTCATATGAGTGCAATAAAATCCACTGCATATACAGTGAGTTTAATTGAAATTGACGATATCAGCTTGAGTAAATGTAAATTATCAAATGGAGAAGAAATTGTCATCGCAGCGATCTACATATCTCCTAACCAAAAAAAACACTTGAGGGTACCATGTATTTCATGAGTTCGTTGGTTATGTACACTCAGAGGGGATATATTTTAAAATGACAAAGGTCCGGTGACATTGACCAAAAACAGTCGCAGATAGAAGCACTCAGTAACTGTATATACCAATTATTATAGCACGATCTTGTTCACATTGGCCGCTTTTGAGGTGCACATATAATGGATGGTGGATCCTGTTTATGATTTGAAAACACAAGATACGCCAGGTAGCTTCATTGAAGCTGATAAACCGACCACTTCGGTATTTCGTTATTTCATCCTTTTCACATTCATCCATTTGGAGGGATATTCACATTAGTATTTTAATTCTAAATTCACTTATTTTATTAATACACATATACCTTCAAATATATTTGATGTTCTTCAAAAAACTGCAGAATGGAACATTAATATAAGTGTTGATTGTTTTGCTCAGCAGAGGTGAATATGGTACGGTTAAACGATTGTCAATGTTAATGTCTGCGATATCGACATTTTTAGCACTAAGAAATAATGTTAAATTCAATATGAGAAAAAAAATTAACTTGAGAGTTGCCGTAAAAAACTAAGATAATACGTATAACAGTAACTGCTACAATCGAGACACAAATAATATCATTTTGTTTGTTAAAAAAAATGGACTAAAACTGTACAGATAATGTTTTCATTTTTGCTTCGTAATTTTTTCTGGTTCATAAGTGACAATGGGAGACACCTGGCGGGGATAACTAATTGATTAATAGAAATATATTTGAAAATTATTGTATACTACAATTATTATATTCGATTGTAATCTTATAAATCTGTGGATGGAACGAAATAATAGAAAAAATGCGAGTAAAAACTAAGTGTTGATCGAATGAGGGTGAAAAAAAGTTTGTGTATTTTTCAATGCTGAATCATGCAAAAAAAAATTTTTTTCCAAAAAATTTAAAAAAATAATAATATTTGGGCTGGACCATTTAGGGGTATAGAAATAGTTGTTGCCCGAATCTCAGACCTACCTGATAAGTATACCAAATTTCATCAAAATCGGTCCAGCGGCAACAAACACCGTGCCCCAAGAATTTTATATATTAGATTATACATTTTACGGAGAATTCTAATTTCGACTATGTAAATGTATTATTAACATTTTAAATTGGGTATCCTTTTGTTCACAGTTACTTGAAACAAATTTTGAGAAATATTATATATGTACATCCAAGTCTTTGAATAAGTGATATTTAATTATATATAATTATTTATAAATTAAAGATGAATAAATTAATAATTCCTTGTAAATAGTTTTATATAATATATGCTTCTAGTAATTTGATTTTATATTTTTTAATTTGTTCGCAGCCAATAACATATAAATACATATGTATGAAAAGAAATACATATGTGATTAATTAAAGCAATGTTTCTCTCAATATAGTAAATGCGTGTTCTGAAATGAAATTTATCCAGCTATGTATTCCCAAATATTCATTCATATTATAAGTAAAAAATCCAGTGTCCAAATTACTTTGACTCGTAATATTCAAAGTCTTGTTGAGTTTTATAAACTGGTAATTTGGTTTACTTTTGTCACGATATTGCAAAAAGTTACGATCATTTGACCCTAAGTTATTTGATATGTGATGTAAACATTTCCTCGCACTTACAGTTGGCTTTACGATACCTGTAATAAATAAAGCATAAATAGGATATAAGCAATGTTAAGGTTTGCATATTAACAGTTTATTTTAAAAAGTATAAAATAAATTAATATTTTTATAGCCTGAACCAAGTATATTAAGTTTGCCACAAAGTTTGTAACACTCAGAGGGCAGCTACGGAGCCCATAAAGTATTTAGTAAATAAATGATCAGAATGGCGAAGTCAGTTGATTTCTCCATTTTCGTCTGTCTGCATATGCGCGAACTAGTTCCTCAGTTTTTAAGCTATCGATCTGACACGTCCTTTTCTCCACAAGAAGCTGCTCATTTGTCGGAATACTGTTTAATAGATTCTGCATAAATAAAAATTATAAAAAATATATGTGATATAAAGGGTGATCCAAGTAAAGGTGCTTTTTCCAAAAGCATTTTTTTACAGATCACTCGTGAGCCGTATCAAGCTGTCATGCTATTTTTGTGCAGTGTTATTTGGCATTTTATCATGAAAATACTCAACAACGTTTACAAATCGTTCAACTTTATTACGAAAATGTACATTACGTAAAGAATGTGTTTCGCACGCTTCGCTCAACTTTCTGTCAACATAATCCGCCTACTGAACGTACTATTCGCAACACCATCACCTGTTTTTAGATCCAGCATTCATTATTAGATAATGTTAGACCGAATAGACCGCATCCATCACGCCATGAAGAAAATATAGCGGCCGCAGCTGAGAGTGTACACGAAGATCGTGGAGAGTCGATTCGGCGCCGTTCGCAGCAACTCAGACTGACGTACGAAAGGACTTTGCGCACTTTACGTCGAAATCTTAAATTGAAGGCGTACAAAATATAGCTTGTGTAAGAACTGAAGCCGCTCAACCTTTCCAAGCGACATCGCTTCTCTCTATGGACTCTTGATTGGATATGTAATGTCTAAAGTCTATGCGGACAATCCCGCTTCGATTTAGGCCCTGGAGAAAAACATCAAGCGTGTCATTCGCCAGTTACCAGTCCAAATGCTCGGACGAGTCATTAAAATTGAACTCGGCGGATGGATCATCTGAGACGTAGCCGCGGCCAACATTTGAAAGAGATAATCTTAAAAAAGTTAATGCCAATGAATATTATTTCGAATGATAATAAACACTCCCTAATAAAATAGTAGAAAACCTCGAAATAGCAAATGAATGAAATAGGTATTAGTATGAACTATAATGTTTTCAGGAAATCAGAAAGAAAATTCACGCATTTGAGTAAACTAAACCACCCTTGAGCACATCATCGCGTAGTATTAACATGCACAACAACAGGGCAGAATATAAAACCCCACATGATACTCCCCAACTGTAATGGAAAAGTACGCACCATTGACTACTTTTTTGCACTATACCTATGTACAGTGGCTCACAGTTTACAAATTAGATGTTCAAAATAACATATCTTTAAAACTAAAAGAGGAATTGACTAAAGTGAAACGCAAATGTATTTATTTGTACAGTATTTATTGGGATTGCCTGTAACACTATTTAGTTTTCTTATTTGGAATAACAGTTTCGTCTTTATTTAACGCAATCAAAAATTACTGCGATTTTCAACGTCACAGCTTATTTGACCCATTATATGCAATTTACGGCTACACTACCAAAGAAATTAGAATAACAGTTAATTTTTTTGTTTGTGCTTTGACTAATATGTTCTCAAATAAAATTAATTAAAATTCTTAAGGATAACTTGACCCAAAGTGTTTAGGATTTGGGTAAAGAGTCCACTTTTCGCTTTCACCAGGATAATGATCAGAAGCACACTTCGTCCAAACGTGGCTCATATATAACTGTCCTCACGTAATGAAACCGCCAGCACAATCATCCCATATAAATGTTATTGAAAATCTATGGACTATTTTAGATAGCAACATTCTAAACGGCAACAATTCGAATAAAAATTACTTAAAACCCTCTTTAACAGAGGAATGGGTTAAAATAACATTTATAACTACGAAGAAGTGGAATCTTTGTAACTGGGTCAAAAGCTGTGATGTTGAAATACGTTATTATTATGCCACGAGCACCTATTCAGAGATAAAAAAGCGGGCAGGAATTAAGGAAGGAGACTTTCTACACGAAATTTAATCAAAACAAAATGTAGAACCAATTAGCTATCAGGACATGTGCCCCACATATATTCGGCACAACTGAAAATTATAAAATACCATCCCTGCTCCCCATACATTCAAACAAAAAAGGATTTGACATCGCTCCTAAGCGGTCGTTCGGTCAATACCGTTCAGCACGCGCCTACTACTCCACCTACACATCATAATTTTCCGCGTTAACTCGATCGCCACAACGTTTTCGCACGATTCGATCGACATTGTCCCGCATGTCGATATCTATTATTATAATTTGTTGTTTGCCATAATTTATACGAAACTATCTATGTAAATTGTTTTGTTATTTATTATTTTAAAAAATGTGTTTTAAAGAAATTTTTTTTTTTGGTAATTTTTTTTTCAGACTTTGTGTAAAGATAATTGAAATAGGAATGAAGAGTTGTAGACAATTAAAGTATACTTTGTCTAGGTAATTAAATTATTCTTTATTAAAGTGCAAATGCTAATCTAACTGGAAATTGAAAATATTTGAATTCAATTGGCAATCAAATTTAGCCATTAAAAATTTTGGCTTCGATAATGCTTTTATTAATTTTTTAATGACCAACCTTGTGCCAACGCAAAACCGTAGTGGGTTCAAATTATAAGGCAAAATATCTGGAAATGCAACTCATGCCCAGCATACCCAATGAATTCAAAAAGTTGATTGGATAATTCATAGTTCAAGTCGATAGATTTATATGACACCAAGTATCCTGGCAACAGCAATTGTATTTTTGGAGTGAATAAGTCTTTCTCCGCATCAGTGATTTTTCAAAGTTGCGTCACGACACAGTTTGCTGTTTGCTGTGAGCAGCTACGTGGGTAACCACAAACACATCGCAGCAATGTATGTTGTATAATATGTGAAATGTAAAATTATTTAAAGCTTTAACAAGTCTTACGTTATCACACTTACAGTTGGCTTTACGATACCTGTAATAAATAAAGCATAAATAGGATATAAGCAATGTGGTTTGCATATTAACAGTTTATTTTAAAAGTATAAAATAAATTAATATTTTTATAGCTAGAACCAAGTATATTAGTTTGCCACAAAGTTTGTAACACTCAGAGCAGCTACGGAGCCCATAAAGTATTTAGTAAATAAATGATCAGAATGGCGAAGTCAGTTGATTTCTCCATTTTCGTCTGTCTGTATATGCGCGAACTAGTTCCTCGTTTTAGCTATCGATCTGACAGTCCTTTTCTCCACAAGAAGCTGCTCATTTGTCGGAATACTGTTTAATAGATTCTGCATAAATAAAAATTATAAAAATATATGTGATATAAAGGGTGATCCAAGTAAAGGTGCTTTTTCAAAGCATTTTTAGATCACTCGTGAGCCTATCAAGCTGTCATGCTATTTTTTGTGAGTGTTATTTGGCATTTTATCTTGAAAATACTCACAATTTACAAATCGTTCAACTTTATTACGAAAATGCATTACGTAAGAAATACCAAATTTCATCAAAATCGGTCCAGCGGCAACAAACACCGTGCCCCAAGAATTTTATATATTAGATTATACATTTTACGGAGAATTCTAATTTCGACTATGTAAATGTATTATTAACATTTTAAATTGGGTATCCTTTTGTTCACAGTTACTTGAAACAAATTTTGAGAAATATTATATATGTACATCCAAGTCTTTGAATAAGTGATATTTAATTATATATAATTATTTATAAATTAAAGATGAATAAATTAATAATTCCTTGATAATAGTTTTTATATAATATATGCTTCTAGTAATTTGATTTTATATTTTTTAATTTGTTCGCAGCCAATAACATATAAATACATATGTATGAAAAGAAATGCATATGTGATTAATTAAAGCAATGTTTCTCTCAATATAGTAAATGCGTGTTCTGAAATGAAATTTATCCAGCTATGTATTCCCAAATATTCATTCATATTATAAGTAAAAAATCCAGTGTCCA